TTCAATTCTTCTTTGCATTCTTTATCAGTCTTTTTTGTTTTTATCATATTTTACGATAAAAACATATGAAACACAAAAATTATCTCTAAAATATTTAAATGTCAATTATATTTTTAATAAAAACAACGACTTTAATAAAATTTATTTAAAAAGTAAACTTAATAGATTTATAGAAAAGATTTGAGCGAAATTAGTATGTGGTAAAAATGAGTTTCAAAACATAAGCATCTCTCAATATTTACTAGTTTACGATTTGTTCACACAATACATAGTTTATTGAATTGAAAAAAACATTATTAGGTGACTACACATGTAATGTTGCAAATAAACGACGGGTATTGTTATGTTTATCGTCGGCTATTGTTAACCGATAACCACAACAAGCGTTTCAATAACTTTATTTATCCAAACGGCTAGACATTGATTCAATCACAACATATGCCAAACATTTTACAATCCAAATGTAAAAACTGTTTCCATTCAATGGCTTATAAATGAGATTGACATCAATTCCTATGAATTGCTGTCCCATCGGAAATGCAGTCAATTTCTTTGCATTCGCTATCAAAACAAATTAAAGTGAATTGTACTGTATGTTGAGGTCTGGCACGTGTTACGTGTTAACAATTTATGATTTTAATTTGTGTTTCCTCTCTCCCGACGTTTCTTCTCAATCCATCCAATAGTTTGCAATTTTAATGAATAGACATTAAACTAAACGACTTTTCGCTTCAATCGCTCTTTGAAATTAAGTTCAATTCTTGACTTCTCATGTCTTCAAGAATAGGTTTCCTCACAATTAAATGTTTGTTAAATTTGAATAAAAATCTTTAAAATTATTTCTCTAAACGAAAGCGAAGTTTTGTTTCGTTACATAAGTTAACTAACACTAGACAACTGTATATTGAGTTAGGGTTTGAACATCTGGAGTACAATACAAGTATTTACTTCACATGTAAACATGTTTTGTTGGCTTTATTTTGCATTTCTTCCGATTTATTTGACATTTTGCTCTTTCTATCGAATTCAATCAAATCATATACTTTTTGATTAATGGATAAATAAATGAGTTTTAAATGAAATATTAAGACACAAATATCTGTCAAACGAAGTCATGCGTTAAAATTATTATGCAATATATGTTGTGTTAATTAAGATTATATTGAAATTAGACAACAATTGAAAGTATGGGTGCAAAGAGAGTGTAGAGATTAGTGGTATAGTAAAGTAAGTAGAGTATAGTGTGGTATACTATGGGTATAGTATAGTATGGATGCAAATGTGGTCCCAATTTCCTGTGGAGTCGAAGTGACGCGTGCCGTGTGTGCCGTTTGTGCCGTTTTGTACGCTTTGGCTCTCCATTAGTTTGCTTATGACTTAAGCACTTGTCATGTCTTCATGTCTTGCACTTTACTTTTGAAAGAAAGTACTGTATGTTATATCTGTTGATGCCATGAGACGGGACATCCCATCTGAGTTGATGCATAGGATGCAGATCTTGAGATATGTGTAGAGCTATTGGAGAGATGATGGGCTGCTGTAGCGCTGGGATGCGGTGCTCTTCATATATCTCGATACCATATAAGGCAAAGACGACCGCATCCTAGGCCTGGTATGCCATTAGATGCCAGCCTATCCTGCTTTCAAATCTTTGGGTTCTTTGCCAACAAACAAAATTTGTGGTGACCTGACAGCAGCTTCACTCCTCACCCATTGGTTCGTTAGGCTGTTCTGTGTGTCTGACGTCGTTTCAAACACAGAGTCTATGCCATAGAGTGTATGCCATAGAGTGTGAACTAATTCTCAATACTCTATACTCTGTTCACTAACTTCTGGCAAATACTCTAATACTCAATACACAGCTCTTCAGAGGCAGAGAAGAGATAAGACAACCAAATGTTAAGAACTCAGTGCCTCACTTTGTGCCTCCAATTTGTGTGACTATTACTCTCGCGTCTCATCTTTATTTCTACTCAAAAACATTTATGTTTTATATCGGAAATCATATATTTTTCAATAAACATCTATTTTCACTATTTTTATCCAAATTATAACCAATTTTAAAGGTAAGCAATGTTTTTAATGTTTGATTCTATAAGTTTTGATTTCATTTTTTGGTCTCCTCTTTACTTCTGCGCTCTTCTAAATTGTCATCTCTTTTACTGTTCATCTTTTTCACTGTATATGTAAGCTGGCATCATGATCATGGTCATTCTATAGTACCATCAATTCAATGCCAATTATTCTTGATATTTCTAAAAACATATTGCTCTTCAACTTTCAAACTTTATTATTACTTTTAAATCAATTCCAATAGAAAATTACGGATTATTTTGTGATCAATTTTGTGTGTATACAACATGTGTATAAAATTGTTGTACAATTGTGCAAGCGCATGCAATGAATAATCGGTAATATTTTTTGACTCGATCATTTGATTTAAAATGTATTTTTACCGTTGTTGTTCAGTAATATAATTGACAATTAAAATGATATATAATTTTGAGTAAATATAAAAGACATTTAAAATATGTTCAGTATATTTAATATTAGTTGTATGGCAATGGGATTCTTAGAACTATTGCAAATCCAATGGCAATAGTATTTTTATATGTCAAATATGCAGCTATTATAACAGTGAAAACGGATTTAAAGACGAATGACCCAGTCAAATGTTGTTAACTATATTCGAGGTAAAAATTGTTATTCTAAAGTATAGTATCATATATTTATTGCTAAACCCGTAAAATAAGTAAAAATGGTGTCTTAAAGATCTATTGATGAAAATAAGCGTAATATCGCTTATAGTATTGAGAAAAGTCAAAATACAGTTAATAGTGACCAATTTATTTACCTAATCACACATATGAGGCAATGCTCTACTCACGAGTCATACTCTCTCTCTCTCTCTCTCTCTCTCTCTCTCTCTCTCTCTCTCTCTCTCTCTCTCTCTCTC